CTTTCTCTTCTTCTTCCTCCTCCTCTTCTTCCTTTCTTCCTCTCCTCCCCCTCTCCTCTTCTTCTCTTTCTACATATTTCGAACTCAAAACTACACAGCAAACCAACTCGTATAGAGCTCGATCTAAAACTTTCTCTAGTTAAACAAACTAATTCCTAATTCTTTTAAGATTAATTTTTGAGCTCCCACTTCTTATGTGTTCTATAAGCAGCCTGTAAATAATTCTTAGTACTTATATACGATATTGTCATATATTATTAAAATAACTTATTTAGTGTTTTATCATTCTTGATAGACTTTAACTCCCCACCCCCCACCCCAGGGCTGAACACATGATTGTATTCCTGACAGTAGGTATTCAACAAATGTCCATTTATTGGGACCAGAATCTTAGAACCTTAGTTTCTCATTTAGTGGATTCCCATTTTACCTCTGGTTATGGTCTATTATAAAAGTTCAACATTAAAAATTTACCAGAACTAAGGACTTCATGAAGTCTCTATTAGACAGACTCTAACTGCTTGGAGAAGGAACTGTGCCCTCTGTCCTTGTTTTCTCCGCAGGCTGTGTAACATGTGCTCCTTCAGCATTGGTTTGTTAATTTTTCCAAAGCTAATAAGCATGCCAATCACTGGAATAATGGAAAATCCACTGGCAAGATCTTAATTATGTTTAAATGTGGATAATTCACTTACAATAGAATTTCTTTTTACAGGAAGACAAATTTATATCATGTTGATCAAGTTTTTGTAATCATGTCATAGAGATCATATCTTTTGAACTTTCTGCATTCGAATCCCAGCTCCAGCAGTGTGACCTTGGGCAAAGCAATTGCTTCATTCCTCAGTTTCTCCATGTATATAGTGGGGATATCTTCAACCTCATCAGTTTATTGAAAGGCCTAATGAACATATACACACTGATGTGTCTGGCACATAGTAGGTGGCCAATAGTTGTTCGTTATCATCATTGTAGTTAAAGAATATCACCCAAGCATTACTCTGTGTAATACTGAGCCTAGAACTTCCTATGGAGAAATGTTAAATAATGTGGATGAGGAGCTTGTAGCACATTGTCACCCCAGAGCTCTGCACGCTTCATCTCATTTGATTGTTCCAGCAACTCTTAGGAGAGAGAACAGGCAGGAATTATTTATCAGTATACTCCTTTTATAGATGTGGAAACCAACCTTAGTTAACTGACCCCATAGCTCTTCAGGAACTAGGTAATTGGTTTATTTGAACTACATCCTGAAGAAAAATGAGTGCTGATAAAGATCACCTGTTTTGTTTTTATTTGCCCTAAGTTCTTACACTGAGTTTGAAACGCTCTTGCCATGGTTTTGGGGGTGTGATATTTCAGTGTTCTGTATCTTCTTTTAGTTGTTTATACTCTTATATACCCAGTCTTTCCCTCCTTCTTTTGCCAGTTAAAGAAAAATAAATAAATGAATAAAACAAAACTGTATGCTTCTTAGTTTCAGGAATCACTGGCTTCCAGGTATCTCTAACCACGGTACCTTTGTTAATAAGCATCATGTAGCCCCTCTGTGCCTCAATTTCCCATCTGTAAAGTGGGAATAACAACACTCACCTCTGTGGGTTTCCTGAGTACTGAGTTAATACAAAGTACCTAAAAGAGTGCCGTGAAGTGAGTGTTCAGACAACATTGCTGGAACCTTGAGGCCAGCACCCTCTGAGAGGCACCTGGCTTCAGGGACTCATTCAGGCCACCCCCCTTTGCTCTCAATCTCCTACTGGTGCTCTTCCTGTATACCAATGAAAATTGCAAACGACTCATGGCTTGAAGCAAAGGGTAAAAGAAGAAAGCGATCAAAGAGAAAACAATGCGAGGAAAAGAAACCATGAGGTAGACATGGCCTGGTGAAGGACGGGAAGGTTAGAGGAGGACGTGAAGGGATGTAGGAAAGTCATAGAAAGAAACCAACTAGACTCACTATTGAATGGTTTGAATTTAAAACGCGTTTCCCTCCCTTATTCTTTCTCTTTAACATATTGGGCAATACAAGGACTTTTGGTAACACTTCTCATTTTGCTATAAAATTATGAGTATGCACGTATGTGTATGTGAAGTCAAAATTATTCCATTTCTTAAAGGTCAATTATCCTTAGGTAAAAGGAGAAAAACACTAAACACATCCAGGATATGTACTGCAAGAAAGACTTGAATTCACAAGAGTAAGAAAATGAAGCCTCCGGGGAAAGTTAGCATACGGAGCCACTGTTGTATCCCACTTCTCTGTGTGAAACTATTTCTCATTTCTGTTATGTACCATGCCACTGTGTAGACTCTTAAATACTTCAAGTGATTACCAGTTAATATTTAGATGTCAGTGCTTCCAATAAATCCTTTCTCTTCATAGTGTCTAAAACAAATTTCTCTTTCACAGAAATATGTTATGCCTATTAGTTTAGTAAAATTTTGTGTTTCGAGGGAATGAGAACAAAACTTTCTGAGCCACCACAAGTTGATTTATGTTTTATTCTAGAAAACATTCCTATGTGCTTGAACGTTCTTTAAATGCTAGAAAATTTCAGCTCTCTAAACTAGGCCAGCACGATTGACTCTTGAGGGTCGCCATCCTGTCTTTGATGTCTTCCTTCAACTATGTAGACCAAATGTGTTCTTACCCCTAATGAGAGGGAGACTGCATGAAGTAATTAGTAGGGAGACAAAGATAATGTACAGAGATGAAGTCATCCTACACCATTTATCATCTGAGGTCTAGAGCCAGGACTCATTCAACCTGCCCCAAATAAGCAAATGTCTTTAGAGAACAGAATGAAGTACTTAAAATATATCCATATCATGGAACCAAAGACAGGATTTTACTTCCAGATCACTTAATTAAAAAATATAGCTGAACCCAAACAACACTGGTTTAAACCAAATGGGTCCACTGTTAGGTAAATTTTCTTCCACCTCTGCCACCCTTAATATGGCAGGACCAACCCCTCTTCTTCCTGCTCCTTGGCCTACTTAACATGAAGATGACAAGGGTGAGGAGCTTTATGATGATCCACTTCCACTTAATGAAGAGTAAATGTATTTTCACTTCCTTATAATTTTCATAATAACATTTTCTTTTCTCTAGCTTACTATATTATAAGAATACAGCATAAAATACATATAGCATAAAAATATGTGTTAATTGACTATGTTAATGGTAAGGCTTCAGTCAACAGTAGGCTATTAGTAAGTAAATTTTGGTGGAATCAAACATTATATGAAGATTTTTGACTGTCTGGGGTTTGGCAGCACCCCAACCATTGTTTTGTTCAAGTGTCAACTCTACACATAGTCTGAAATTTCTCGCTTTAAATTGGTTGCCTCTTAACCTAATACTTTTCTTTTTTTTTTTTAAGACAGTCTTGCTTTGTTGCCAGGCGGCAGGTTGGAATGCAGCGGCGCAATCTTGGCTCACTGCAACCTCTGCCTCCCTAGCTCAAGCAATTCTCCTGCCCCAGCCTCTTGAGTAGCTGGGACTACAGGCACATGACACCATGCCCAGCCAATTTTTGTATTTTTTTTAGTAGAGATGGGGTTTCACCATGTTGGCCAGGATGATCTCGATCTCTTGACCTCATGATCCGCCCACCTCGGCCTCCCAAAGATACTTTTCTTTAACTACATTAGATACATGGCAACTCTCAGAAGTTATTCTTTATTCTCTATAATTATAAAAATTGTGTTGTGTCTATGAATGAAAAATTAAGTTCATACAACTTGATACAAGTTTATTGTATTCATGCATGTGATGTATTTATAATTAAACATCACAGATAACTGCAAGCTCTGTATTTTAATTAACAAAATGTTAAAATTCCCAAAGTAACCTGAGATTGATAGCAACCGCAATTCAGTACTTGTTTTTCTCTAGTTGCTTGGACATACCCACACTGTGAACATAACCCCCAAAAAGGCGGAAGCTTTTTTTGTACCTATGGTATGTTTGTTGGTGGAAACAATGCAAGAACATGGGGTTTGGTAGCACATTGAATGGAAATCTTCACAGTTTGACGGGAAGGGCCTGATGAGAGAACTCCATGTTGTTTTGTCCATCAGTCTGAAGAAGTGAAAGAAGTGCCATCCCAAAATATGCGAGATTGGTATATTGATTATTTTGAGTTGAATACATTGAAGAAATTGTGGTTTCAGAAAGGGCTAGCTGGCCTTCTCTTTCATCATATGGTAAGCCATGAGGATTCCCCTGGGAGGGGTACTCTCCTCCTCTCCATACAAGGGTGAGGAAATAGCCTGATCACAAGAGACAGGGAATGAAGGGCTGCAATGGACCTAAATAAATGTACTTACTGAAGTAATTGTTTTTCCCACTACTTTTACACGCCCCCCATATCTTCTATTTCCCTAGAAATACACTGCCCCAGTCCAATTTTCTTTGTCCTGTAGTTTTTTTCTCAAATTTATAGTTCTTTGTCTATAAGTATGAAAGCAAATTGTTTGAGCCAGTCCTTCAGTCTTGTTTGTCATGTGAAAATCTCCACATACATGGAAAACTGATAAAATGTGTATGCTTTTTTCTTGTTAACCTGTCTCATGTCAATTTGGTTTCTAGATTCAGTTGAAGAACTCACTGACAGCTGAAGGGGGTTGGAGTTGATCTCGAGCTCACCTGCAGATCAGTTGCAAGTTCTAACTCTTGATTATTAAGAGGAGAAGGTGTTTTTCCATTAAAAGAACACGGTATATATTTAGGAATGACTTAAAGAAGCAAAAACTGGTTAAAGTAGCATTTTCATGTAAAGCATGAACTTTAATACCAATCTAAAGATTATAAACTGAAGGTTTTAGCATCTGCAGTAAAATAGTCAGTGGTATCTGAGATCAAGAGAGTGGGTAAGAAGCAGGGAAGGAACGTATCACAGAATAGAATGCAGGCAGGATGAGCTTCCTGCTTCTTCCTCTTCCTCTTGATTGCGTCACTTCACATTAGTAGTTAAGGTTTTCCTATTCTGGCTGTAGTATCTGCAGAGGTTGCAGCGCTCGGGTTCCTGCTCTGGTAAGTTGTGATCCTCTGTCTTCGCCTGTCGGTCTCTCCTGTTTTAGGGGCGGCAGTTTTCCCTGTGACTTCACTTTTCTTATGGATCTAAGACGTGTTGCTTTTTCCATTTATTCAGTGTTTTCTTTATTGTTAGGACAGAGTGTTGACTTCCAAACTTCTCACCTGCTAGACTGAATATCACCTTCATTCTTAGAAGAAAGGTGATTTTGAGCCTACCTATGAGCTACGAGTTCATTGCTCCATGTTGGCCAGAGAAAGTTTAGTTTGGCTGGTAGTCACATTTGTGAAGAATCTGGAAGATATGTGCCTGGGTGCAAGGCAGCTTGCATAGAAGTCTCTCCCACCCTCCGGGGATGAAGGGTGCCCTGCACCCTCCCAAGCTGTGGCTAGAATCTCTGGTACTGCGGAGAGGTAGAAAAGAGAAGTGGGACCAAGACAGAAAAGATGTTTCTAGATGTTTGGGGCATGTACTCGAAGCATCCCAGAGACAAAAACATCAAGAAATGTATGTTTGAAAAGGATTATTAGTAAATGTTTGCTCCCTGGAAACATTATGCTTCTACCTCCTTCAGAAAATTACAGGATACAGTACAGGGGTACAAAGTAAAGTCTGAAGTTGTTTTCAAATGTGAATATACTTGAGATTTATTTTCTCCTAACGGTTTCCTTGTGAAATCAAATCTTAGAAGAAGAAAATTCACCTAAAGACCCTGTATCCCACTGAGTTAAACTTTAAAAAAATTATTTCAGGTGCATTTCTCCAATTTCATTCCCTCCAATTCACAGGAAATCTTGTTAAAATTTCCAGCAGAGGAGAATATTGTGGACTTGGCCCGAATCCTGCAACTTGGGGTGGAGCCCGGAAACAGCTGCTCGGGTAGTTGTTCCCCTCCCTGCTGCTTTTCCCTCATTCACAGTCCTGGGGTTGTGCTAAATGCCGCCCGTAGAACAAAATTATCTCAGTGCTGGTTGCCAACCAAAGAAAGGCAGTTAGCTGATGAAACAAAGCAGAAGATGCCTGCCTTCCTTCCTAAAGGTGTTAAATCACTAGCTTTTTTTTTTTTTTTTTTTTTCCCAAAGAAATAACAAATAGTAGGGGGCATACAGCAGTTGGTGAGTAGAAACCACACATTCCATCTTGAAATCTTTGTTGTTTTTGCAGGGATGCCCAGGACAGTGGGGGCACCTTACTTAGGGCCTGGTCTGGGCTCCAGCTGCTCATCACTTTCCAGGTTCTGATTCCCATCTAACTGAACCTACCTGTCCCCCTTGATCACTCTCTGCCATCCCTATTATAAATATATTTCCCTCTCCTTCTCAGTTAAATATGGTCCAAATTGAACTTGTCATTTTTACCCTTCAAGTCCTATTTTATAACAAACAAAAATTTCTACTGGCAATCCGGCCTTCTCTGGGGCTGCCCAGCTGCCGCTGGGGTGATTAGGGTGTTTCCTGCAGCTGAAGTCTCTTGTAATTAGCAAGCCCCTCAGGCAGTCTGGACTCTGAATTTAGCTGCCATCTGGTATCATCTGTAAATGACAATAGCACTGTATCTTCTCCTTTGCCTCAGCCCTGCCTGCACTACACACTCCCACTCCAAGCAACCCTTGAAAAGATTTCACTGCCTAGCTTCCCTGTCAGCTCTTAAGTATCAAGACACCTTGGGCTCTGGTTAATTTGGAAAGTTCTAAACAAGGTCAAGGCAAATGAGAGGCAAAATTTCCAGAAACATCAAGAGGATACAGCAAAAGATACAGTGGGCTAAGTAGCCTCTCACATCCCTTTGTACCAATGTTTCTCAAAGCACAGTTTCTAGAATAGCAGTATTGGAATTATCTAGAAACTTGACAGAAATGCAAATTCTCCGGCCCCAGCCCAGATCAATAGTCAGAAACTCTGGGGAGGGGCCAGCAATCTGCGTTTTAACAGACCCTCCAGATCCTTCTAATAGAAGCTACAGTTTACCAGCTGCAGCCCTTGGGTTCTCACTAGTGCCCTATTGACATTTTGGGAAGGCAGTTCTTTGTTGTGGGGGCCGTCCTGTGTATTGTAGGATGTTTAACAGCAGCCCTGGACTCTACCCACTAGATTGTAGAAGTACCCCTTCAGTTGTGCCCATCCAAGATGCCTCCAGACACTGCCAAATGTTCCCTGGTTAAGTCACCTGCATTTGAGAGACAGCGGTTCGCTACAGGTTCTATGTCTAATTGCTTAGTGCTATTGGACCAATGATTGCTGCTGTTAAAAAGTCTGTATACAGGAGAGTGCTGTGTATGCAGTGCTTTTCAAGCTTTAATGTGCCTACAAGTCACCTGGGGATCTTGTTAAAAACCTGTTCTGATTCAGGAAACCTGAATTGGATTTTAAGACAGTGCCTTTTTAACAAGCTAAAAGTGATGCCCATGTTGCTGCTCTACAGACTGCACTTTGATTAACAAGGTCCTACAGGATCCCGAAAGATTTATTGGATGAAGGATGCATGAATAATTAAAAGCCAAGGATTCCTTTTGTGGAATGGGTCGGAATTTTTCCCTTTGTCACTGAACTCCCACCTTCAAAATTTTTCTTTCCTTATTCTCATGTTTGCATATTAAGAAAGATCAACTTTATTATAGCAAAGATATAGTACCAGAGATCTTTGCATATGAATCATACTATATTTAGAGATACACAAAAGTAAACCCCCAAAATTCATTGACTAGCCAGTGAAAGATAGGCCATGCTATCACCATCCTGCTTCACTCAACAAATATCTTTTCAATACTTTCTGTGCAGAGCATGCTACTCAATTGCTCATTAAAAAACCAGATGTATGCAACTTGCATTAAATGAATACCTATAAGCTGTATGCTTTCACCGTATGTATTTTCAAAAAGATGTAAAAGTCATGTGTCCTGGGAGAGGCAAGCGCCTTTTGGCCAAAAAGACACATGAAAGAGAGAATTAGCCAGCAGGGCTAAGTGTTTTCATTGTCATCTCAGTTACTGAGAAACTGGTTTCAAATGATCTTCTATCACCATAGGAGAATGATAGCATTTGCAACTGCTGAAGTGGCAGGGTAATTTCCTTCTAGAGCTAATGAATACCTGGTGCTTTCTTTGTTTCTCAGTCCATTGACAGATATGGATCTGAGATACAAAGATGTCTTAAAACCTTGGGGATTGAGAGCTGGCCTTTTTTTTTTCTTTTAGAAGTTCAAGAGCTTTATTTTTGCCCTAAAATTGGAAAAACAGACCAGCACACGATCAAATATTTCTATATACAAAATGACATTGTGTGATAGATAATAGGGACAGCATTAAATTTGACATGGTATTTTGCTTAAGACAGAACAATGTGGGATGCCTCAATTTCAAAAAGACACGAATGAGCTCCATGGGCTCATTTTCATTGCAGAATCCCATCATGCCACTGCCCTTCAATTGAAATTGTGCTTGTGTTGCCAATAAATCACTGGTCATGGATGAACACATTATAGTTAAAGTGCACTCTTTTCAGAGCACACGTGCACTCTCATTTTACAATGTGTGTCAGAGATTTACTAACTGTTTGGCAAGCCTGTTTCCTCTCCCTCCTTGGCACAAAGCTAGATAACAGTTCCTAGTCTTGCAGTTAGGTGTGACCATGTAACTGATTTCTGAGCATTGTTGGTAAAACAGACCGGTTCCACCTTCACAAGTGGCCCATGAAATCTTCCCATGCATAATCCTCCATGCTCATATGGCTTCTGCTGGCTCGATGCAGATAAGCACAGTGACCTTGGAAGCCATGGTTTGAAGATGGAGAAGCCAGCATATGAAAAATTGAAATTCTTGGTCCCTGTTTAAAGGGAGGTGTCTACTCACTAATCAGGAATACTTGCTTTGGTCTTTACATAAGTGGGAAACAAAATTTTCCACATGAACCAATGTACATTTTTAAAAAATTCATTTGTTTCAACTGTTAGCATTACTCTAATTATTATACAATAATATTTTTATATTTCTTATATATAATTGGTTACCCCCAGCCGAGATTCCCTTTTTCTATCCTAGATTCTGCTGCCACATGTTGAATTTGGTTCTTCTTTCTCCTTCATTGCAATTTCTAAATTGTTATCACCTTCCTATAGGTCCTCATCATTGTTCTGTACTTACCGACCCTACCTATTTTTAGGCACCTGTCTTTAATTATCATCTTATCTTAGAGCTCATTGGTGGCAGATGTGTGATGCTGTCAGAAGAAGGAAAAAGGCAATAAAAAACGTTACCTCACTACTCCTGTTCCTGTTCTGTTAATCTTTCCTCCTTCCCATCCTCTCTTACCCTTTATCCTCCTTTGATTCTTTCCTATTTGTCATTATTTCCTAGAATTTCTATTCTTGTTTCTCCGTATGTCGGAGCCTCATTCTCTGCTTTTGACTGTATAGTCTTAGCTCTCTCTGCTCCGCTAGCCTCTGCTGGTAATGGTCCCTCCATCATGGGGCATCTCCTCATCTGGATATATAATTTTAGATGTAACAGAGGGTACAAACGTTGGAAGATTGCATAGAATGAGTAGAAAAAATCCCGAGGCACTTCAGTGAGGGCAGTTTTGCACATGGAAGCCAATACATTGTTTTAAGAAGAGGGGAACAATCATGTTGAATGTAGCTGAGATGTCAACCATGATAGGAAAACATCTCTTATGCATGGCAGTTCTGAGAGGCATTCAAATGAACCATCAGGAAGGAAGTTAGACTAGAAAGGAGTGACAGTATTAGTGGAGAACTGGATACACATAGGTGCATACAGACAACCATTTTGAAATTCTGTGAAGTGTAAAAAATTAGAGAATGAAGAAAATGGAGCAGAGAATAAATAACTTTTGATGGAGAAAGTGGGGTAATGGGGAAAAGGGTCAAGGAAGACATGAATAAGCAGAGTTATGGACCCATGTTGGGATGATGAATAGCTACAGGGTATGAAGATGATCCTTAATAAATGGGTAAGGTGAGGAGACACAGGAGAAGAGAAAGC